AACAATAGGAATGTTTAATTTTTCTGCAATATATAAAAGTTCAACATCAAATGCCCTTTAATTAAAACAAAAATTTTATCATCATCTTTTGTTGTTTTTATTTTATTTATTCTTACCATCGTTCAACATGCATTTGTGAGAAAATTTTTTCCGCAGCTTGACGTGAAAATAATTTATAACCACATTGAGTATCACGAATAGATTTTACAGCAAATAACCAAACTTCAAAATGAAATACATACATAAGTAATGTACGAAATGCTGATCTCTATTTTGAAAACAAAAAACAAATCATATTCTATCTTCTTATTCATCAATCAAAACAAAAATTTACTTTTGCAACAGACTCTTTTTCTAAATGTCGTCTTGAACCACAAACAACAACATCATTATTCTAAATTCAAAACATATTATATCATTAAAAGAACTTAGTTTTTTTTTTTATGTACTTTCATTGCCACTAAAGCACTTCTTTCAAGTTTAGTAAAATCACTAAATTTAGTTGCACCATCTGCATCAGCAAATAAAATCCATTGACCTCGAGCACTTAATACACCCTAATAGATAAAAAAAAAAAAAGAATTAATGATCGACATCAACTATTAAACATTCTATCTCACCATTCGAACAGCACCACCCTTACCTCGATTCGCATCAAAAGTTAATACTCGAACTATATCTGTTCCATATTGAATACTATATTTTAATGCAACCTAGAAATATAACTAATAATTCATTATTGAAAATAATAAGTCTTACTTCACTAGTTTTATCAGGACTTCCATCATCGACAATAATCAATTCATAGGTAAACGAAGAATCATTTGCCTAATAAAAAAAAAAAAAAAAAATTATAAACTTTAGCAGTCATCTTAAAATAAAAAACATCTCCATTCTGTACATAGATATTTTACTGTTTTTTTTTCTATAATTCTTCATAGTAATATCATAGAGACTTATTGGCTTTACCATTCAAGGAACTTGTGAAAATTTTCAAAAACGATATTCTAAAGCTATGTCTCTTTAGATCTATGCAAGACCGACATTCGTAACTTTTTCTGTTTGAGAATTATAAGACTTTTTCTCAAATTCCTCCGATGTGACTCAATTGATCCTTAATCACTCAGAAAAGCAGCTAGGTAGAAGTAATTCACCATGCTTAGTTGAATAGTGATCCAACCTAAGATGATGACAAAAGGTTTAATACGAGCATATTTTCAATTTTTTTCTCTATGATGCTAAATAATTTGTTCACATTCAAATAGTGATTTTAATAGCAAATCAAGTTTTCTCATACTCAAGCTTCAGAAATGAATTATGATGACAATGTTTGTAACAAAAAACTCAACACATTAGTTTTCAGATCCCAGATAACACAGTCGAAGCTATGTTTTAACGATACCATTTTACAGTTCGCTGTATTCTTTAGTTATTTTAACCTTTTGGGATATAAAAACTACCATGTTCAATTTTTCTTTTTTTGAGACCTCATTGTCGTAATTCATCTATGAAATTCCGAGTCAAAAAAAACCTTCGTTGTCCATCAAAATCTTTATTTGAATTTCAGCTAGCTTCTTAAAATTATAGAACAAAAAAACAAATTCTTTATTATTAAAACTATTTTCATCACCTTATTGTTCGAAGAAATTCCTCTCTGTAAATTAGAAATAGAATTCATCAATATACCTGACGTCGTTCTAGATAGTCCATTGTATCTTTAATCATAGCAGGTACTAAATAGCGAAGAAAAAAATTTCCATGAAAAACTTCTTTTAAAAAAAATTGTCTTTATATATTTACATCGATCTACTTCTTTATAAGCTGGAATAATAACAGAAAGATATTTTGAATGTGAATCTTTGAGTGATGGAAATGGTTTTCGTGATTTTGTTATTGGATCTTGAAAATATTTTTCATTGTCACTTCGAGGTCTCATGTTAAAAGAACGTAATAAACATATTATCTAAATAAATTAGATTTTTTTGTCTCTATTTTCAAGTAATAAAAATAATATTAACTTACAGATAAAACAGCTAACCCAAGAGGTATAAGTATAAGTAACAGTAAAAGTAATTGTTCAATCATCTGGAAAACTAAATATATAAATGAAATTTAAAAATGAATTGTCTCTATAATAAATATGCTTATTTATAAATAAATTTACTCAAAAATAATTATAATCTTTTTTTAAATCTGATGAAATAGTAAATTATTGAAAATTTTTATGCCAGATGGGCATATTCTTATTAGTTCCTTACTTTTAACCAATAAAATATTAGAACAAGCAACATCTATCGTATTAATTTATTTAATATTATGACTCGAACTATATAAAAGAAAATGTTTTCTTTTTTCATTAAAGATTTAACTAATTCAAGTTATGTAGAAAATATAAATAAAATAAATAAACTCTATCCATTAAAATAAAATGTTATCAATAAAAGAATTTATTAATAAGAAGAAAGTGTTTGAGTATGCACACTTTATTTGAATTGATATATTTTCAAGTATAGTACAAAATGTGACTCTATTTCAAGTCAAGAGATAGTGACAGAATTCATGTATCGTTGGGGAAGCTGTATTTAGAAGTAATACTGCACATGACCAATAAAAGATATGAATTTTGAGATCATTTTTCTTTTGCCTCGTCGAAAATGAAGACATAGTAATTAAATGTGAACGTCAATAGTCCCATTAATTTGAGAAATAATTATGAAATTAAGTAGGCATTTAATTTTCAATGCTAAGTCTATTCATGCTGAGTTAACATTTATATTTTCCATACAAATTTTCAGTTATTCTTTCTTAGCTTAAAAGCAACACTTCTCGTATATTCTAGGTGAAAGTTACCAGAATTAACTAGTACTTCTTCTTGGTTATATACTCAATATGTTACGGTGAAAACAATATTAATACAACTTCTAGAGCACATAATGAAAAAACCTTAGCAAACTTATAGAGTCCGTCAGGTTCACAGTTTTTAGATTCAGATCTGTGACTAACTCGAAGGGTTCTACCAAATTATTTCAGTAGGAACATTCATTTTCGATAATATACATATTCATATTCTAAACTTTTATCATTAAATAAATTCAAGTGTATTTCTTAGGAAATAAAGATTCTG